AATGTCAGAATGTTAGATCCATAGGACTCACACCAGGGACTGGAATGTCAGAATGTTAGATCCATAGGACTCACACCAGGGACTGGAATGTCAGATCCACAGGGGCTTACACCAGGGACCGGAATGAAGACAGAACTCCAGTTGTCAGTGACCAATCAACAGTATCCTAAAGACTTTCCATCGCCCTGAAGAGAGAGACTGACTTCCCTTCCTCCTGCCTGTGACATACCAGTTCCTGGGTGACCCACCATCAGGCTCCTCAAGGAAATGTTTCCACTCCTCACCCACCGAGCTATAGAAGAAAGACCTGGCAAACTCCTTCCATAACAATTAGCACCAAGGAAACCCTAAGCATAAGCTCCACTGGAACACATGGGCTGGCCATGAGTTGGAATGGACTTGACCAATGGGTTTGGCTGTGAAATGCCTGCTGCCCACTTTCAAAGCAGTGTGAAGAAGGCAGGTGCAGGACTCTCCTCACACACATAACCTTCTGTCAGATAACATATACACCTCATTTCCCAGAACCGAGTCATGTGGCTCCTCTTAGCTGCAAGGGAAGCTGATTAGGTTACTCCACAGGGTAAAAGAAGGATGTGTTGTAGTTGCTGTTAGGTTCTGTCCACTCAATGCTGACTCATAGCAACCTTATACACAACAAAACGCAACACTGCCCAGACCTGCACCATCCTCACAATCGTTAAGCTTGATTGAATGAGCCCGTTGCAGCTGCCATTGTGTAACCCACCTCACTGTGGGGTTCCATGTTCTCACTGAGTTTCCACTTTACCTAGCATGATAGCCTTTTCCAGGGACTAGTCCCTCCTGACAATATGTACAAAGTATGAATAAGAAGTTTCACCATCCTTGCTCCCAAGAAGGTTGGACTTCTTCCAACACAGATGTGTTTATTCTTCTAGAAGTCCTTGGTACTTTTAATATTCTTCTCCAACACAATAATTCAAACACACCAGTTCTTCTGCAGTCTTAGTTACTCACAGTCCAACTTGAATGCATACGAGGCTGCTGAATTTATAATGGTTTGCTTCGGGCACACATTAGTCTTCAACCTGACATCTTTGTTCTTAAACACTTTAAAGAGGTCTTGTGCAACAGATTTGCCTAATGCAATATGAGATGTTTGATTTCTTGACTGCTGCATCCATGAGTGTTGTTGATGGATTCAAGCAAAATGAAGTCTTTGACAACTTCAATTTTTTCTCTGTTTATCATGATGTTATTTACTGGTGAGGATTTTTGTTTTCTTTGCAATGAGGCGCAACCCATACTGAAGGTTGTGGTCTTTTAGCAAGCAAGGCTGTTTCATCTGCATATGACAGGTTGTTAATGAGTCTTCCTCCAATCCTGATGGTAGGTTCTTCATCACATAATCCAGTTTCTCAGATTACTTGCTCAGCATACAGATTGAATAAAAAGTGAAAAAACACAACCCTGGTGCACACCTTTTCTAATTTTAAACCATTCACTGTCCTCTTGTTCTGTTCAGGCAACTGCCTCTTGGTCTGTGTACAAGTTCCTCATGAGCATATTTAAATGTACCGGAATACTCATTCTCTGCAATGCAGCCCATAGCTTGTCATGGTCCACACAGTTGAAAACCTTTGAGTAGTCAATAAAACACAAGTAAGCGTCTTTTTGGTGTCCTTTGATTTTAGCCAAGATTCATCTGCTGTCAACAATGATATCCCTCATTCTATGTCCTCTTCTAGATTTGGCTTGAACCTCTGGCAGTTCCCTGTCAATGTAATGTTACAGTCAGTTTTTAATTTATCTTGAGCAAAATTTCACTTGCATGCGATATTAGTGATATTGTCTGATGATTTCTGCATTCTGTTGGGTCACCTCTCTTTTAAATGGGCACAAATATGGGTCTCTTCCAATCAGTTGGGCAGGTAACTATCTTCCAAATTTCTTGGCAAAGATGAATGAGTGCCTCCAGTGCGGCATCAGTTTGTTGAAAGATTTCAATATGTCTTCAATCAAGTCCTGGAGCCTTGTTCCTTACCAATGACGTCAGTGCTCCTTGGACTTCTTCCTTCAGTACCATTGGCTCTTGATCATATGCTACCTCTTAAAACCATTGAACATTGATTGACCCTTTCTTTTTGGTACAGTGACTCTGTGTAATACTTCCATCTTCTTTTGATGCTTTCTGCATCAGTCAGTGTTTTGCAAAAGAATCTTTCAGTATTGCAAGTTGAGACTTGATTTTTTTTTCCCTCAGTTCCTGCAGTTTGAGAAATGCTGAACATAGTCTTCTCTTTTGGTTGAAGATTTTCAGTGGAGAAACATTCGGGAGTAGTCCACCTGTCCTTCTGAGTCTGTCTTAACCTGGAAGCTTAGCTAAAACCTGTCTACCATGGATGACCCTGCCGGCCTTCAAAATACTAGCATCACAGCAACACATAAGCCACCACAGTACGACAAACTGGCAGACAAGTGGTGAAAAAGAGGGATAGTATGATTGTAATCAGCTTGGTCAGTCACAGTGTTTCACCTGGGGACAGGTACATTACTATCTGGAACAAAATCAAGAATCTACTAGTGACAAGAGGGGAGAGGGTGGGGTGGTTGTTG